TCTTTCCCCCCGATAATATCTCTGCAAACAAGCTATACCAAAGTAAGAATATCTCATATCATCAGGGTTAAAAGCAAGAGTATCCCATATCATGTTTTTTCCCTGTCTTTTCCTTTGACCTTATTCTTACCTGCAAGACAAGGAGAAAAAGAGCAATCAGTCAGCACTTGGAATCAAGCTTCTAGTCAGGAACTGACTGCCTGGAACCCCTTACCTGATTACTTACCTGGCATTGCTCTCGAGTACTCATCTTCAACATCTTATGCTTCCAGGGAAGATACCGCATCTGTCTGAGGAACAGTTAGGGCAAGTGAGAAGGATACAAGGAACCATGTGGAGACAAACGTAACAGCACACGTGTCGATACATCCACTACTTTGTCAAAAGCAAAAGTATCCCATATCAGCAGGGTCGAACATACTCTAGATTTGATGGACTTGTTTTGACCCTCAAATTCTTCAGTCGGCCTTATACACTGGAGGAAACCAGAAAACCTTCCAGCCCAGTTCAAGAATAAGCCTGTGGAAAGTTACTTCTTCAAAAGCAAAAGTATCTCATATCATCTCTTCTCATTTTTCTTCTCTTTATCCTTCATGCTGCCTGCAAGATAGGGAGAATGAGAACAATCAGTCGGAACTCGTAATCAAACTTCTGATCTGGGACTGATTGCTTGGAGCTCTGATTGCTTACCTTGTCTGTCACCTCTTTCAGCAGATCCCCTAGCTTGGCGACTTAGGGGACTCCTACTACATGGTTTGTATCGCGCTTGACCAAGCCTGAAACTACAAGTAAGCTTCAAGTGAAATTGATACATTACCTTGTACATCTCCACCAGTTAAAGATACCACCCCTGGATGGAGGAAGAGTACTTCCAGAGAAGATGCCACATCTACCTATGAGACAGATAAGGCAAGTGAAAACGATACCACACTTCGGTACTTAGAAGTTTCGTGATTACGAGATCATTCTCCCACAATATTTCCTAATGTCATTTGTACTAAATCATTCACTTGTACTCACTAAAGGAGAGCTTGAACCTATGTACTTGTGTAAACCCTTCACAATGAATGAGAACTCCTATATTCCGTGGACGTAGCCAACCTGGGTGAACCACGTACATCTTGTGTTTACTTTCCTGTCTCTATCCATTTATATACTTATCCACACTAATGACCGGAGCAATTTAGCGAAGATCACAAAAAGCTACCGTTTTCGCTACCTAGGATCTATCTTGCAAAAGAACGGAGAATTAGATGGAGATCTCAACCATAGAATACAAGCTGGATGGATGAAGTGGAAGAGTGCACCCAGCGTGTTGTGTGACCGTCGTAGGCCACTGAAGCTCAAGGGAAAATTTTATAGGACGACAATAAGGCCAACGATGCTGTATGGCACAGAATGTTGGGCGGTGAAGCATCAACACGTACACAAAATGGGTGTAGCGGAGATGAGGATGCTTCGTGGGATGTGTGGGCACACGAGAAAGGATAAGATTGAGAATGAGGATATCCGAGGTAAAGTAGGAGTAGCCGAAAATGAAGGAAAGATGAGAGAAAATCGGTTTCGGTGGTTTGGACATGTGCAAAGAAGGCCTACTGACGCTCCGATTCGAAGATGTGACTACGGGACAGAGGTTCAGGGCCGAAGGGGTAGAGGAAGACTTAGGAAAACTTTGGAAGAGACCCTAAGAAAAGACTTAGAGTACTTGGATCTAACGGAGGACATGACACAAAATCGAGCCCAATGGCGTTCTATGATTCATATAGCCGACCCCACTTAGTGGGAAAATGCTTTGTTGTTGTTGTTGTAGCCGTATTTGGAGTAAAACCGTAATTCGTGAATTTTCAATGGAGTATCTGTGTGTGTACACACACACACAAAACATTATTTGGCTATTCAAGGATGAGTAGAAACTCCTATATAAAGATAGGGTTGTTTAGTCAGTCTATTGTAGCAAATACATAGATTGTCTGTAATGCTTTTACCATGTCAGTTCATCTATTTTTATACAATTCGCTAACTAAACGACATTAATTTTAATTGATTTTTTGCATAGATGATTTATATAGAGTGATTTATAATATGAACGGTTCTGATCATAAACACAAAGTTCTATAAATCTACAACAAACAATTTTGAGTAAGAACTAGGAGCTTATATTTATTTTTTAAGTAGTCAAGTATTGTTTTTTTTTTTCCTAAATTTATACCATGTCCATGAAATTGTCACCCATACATTCTATAGGTGGCCCAAAAAAAAAACATTAGCTAATTAATAGTACTACATCACACGCGTTAGATTGGTTGTCTAACTTAAAAAAGCCTCATTTCCCTTTATCTTTATTTCTTTGACCAGGTTGAGATGAAAAACTAAAAAAAATCTCAAAATAACACAAGTGCGCACGCTCACATGCAATGCAAAGCGGAAAAAATGAAGATGAAAACAACACCAGTAATTAAAACAAAACCCTACAAGTAGATAAAAAAATAATTAACATTTCTAGAAAATAATTCAAACACCATTAACTTTCTCGCATGTAAGAGGAAAGAAAAACTAAAATTCCACAATGCACCGACAGAGGTACATTTTGTTTTGGCTTTTTAGCCAAAATGGCCTTTGAGATTTACATAACTCATTATTTTGGTCTCTAAGATTTGAAATTAATACAAGTAATCCCTGAGTTTGTCCGTCATCAATCATTTTAGTCATTCCTTAAAAAATTAACCTTAAAAAATTAAGGACCAAATAACAAAAATACCCTCAATTCAATAAACAATGAGCCAAAATGATTTGACAAAATTTGAGGGTGTTTTTGTCATTTTATCTTTATTTAATGGAGATTTTTCAAGGAATAACAAAAATGATTGATGATTAACAAACTCAGGAACCATTTTTATTGATTTCAAATCTCAATAACCAAAATGATGAGTTACGCAAATCTCATGGATCATTTTGATTAAAAATGTTTTTTTTTTGGACCGTTGACGTTGAGGAATTGAAGGTGGGTGATGAGATGAGGGGTAGCCTTTGCTTTGATGGATTTATGATTGGTCCCTCCAAGCTCCAAGCTAGCTAAAACCCTACAACTCTCACAATATGACATATTCCATCAATTAGCTATCTGATAGAATTAACAGCTCAAGTAAGATCGTTTTCTACAAGCATTGAATGAATAATTTGTATTTAAACTAATCTTTAGCTAATTATTTAGAATAAAGTTTCGAAAAAGTTGATTTTAAAATTTAAAATAATAAAAACGAATTTAAATAAAAACAATTAAATAATTGGCAAAGTATAGAAAGCAAAAGAAAATAATTTTGGAAAGCAATTTAAACACTAGGTTCCGCCATCACCACTCCAAATATGACTAGGAGATCTACCCAACAGAGAAATAGTCACGTTTCTGGACTTTCAGGGCTCCAAAAGAGGCCAAAACGAATCAAATTAAAGATTAAAATCTCCTCTTCAAGTTCCAAGAAGAGCCCAAGTCCAAAATCCATCATTTTCCAGCCCAAAAGTCATAAACAAGCTCTGTAACCCAATCTGTCATCATTGCGCGTTAGGCATGAATTAATTCGCCATGATCAGATGCTTCAGGATAAAATTATGAAATTTTGACACAACCTTCTTGACACAAACCCACTCCAATTGGAATCGCCAAAAAATTCTATCGTTTAATTACTTTATGCTCAGAACAAGTTTGCATGTTCTACATTAAAAATACATAGCAAAAATAATAATTAAAATATACCAAAAAAGGGAAAAATATATAGCATATAATCGACTCATCACTATCCACTTCTCAAACGGAAAAAAAACCTAATCATCTTGTTCTCGATCCATATATACACTGATGAATTGTCTCCCAGTGGCACTCAAATTCAAACCCACTTCTGTCATCTCCAAAAACTTTACAGAGTTTGAAGATTGTTTTGGAGCAACTATAGAGAAGGGAGCTATATACTTCCATGCAGCACTGTTTCAATCATTGTATGATCATCTATGAACTGGGATTTTTTAGATGACGACTGAAAGGATATCGTTTTCATACGAGACATACCTAAAGAATGAGGAATTGAACGCACGAAGTTGGGTACATGTGTAAATGTTCATAACAACTTAAACTACAAGCACATTGGAATTGGAGCTATACTTCCATGCAACGTTATTTCAATCATTGTCAAATTATTTCGAAATAGGATTTTGAGATAATGACTCAAAGGATAATCTTTTTTATACGAACCATATTGAAGAATGAAATAATCGAACACACGACTTCAATGCACAAGTGACAATTTCAACTCCAGCCACATTGGAAAGGGATATACAAAATGCAGTAATACAGTCACTTAGTACTATGGTCTAATGATATTCTTCTTCACTTGTAAGTGAAATATCTTAAGTTCGATTCTCACCAAAGTTGAATTTGAACCTGATTATTATTATTCCATTGTGAAGCTAAGCACACCTCCTCTCTTCATATAGATAATATCATTTGTTAAAAAAAAACACACAATAGTATAATATCATTGTCTTTCTTGATCTCTAGGGCTTGAAGTTCGAATATTGTTATCTTTTTTTCATAAATTATCATTTATAAAATTTCGACTCAAAATCTCTCAAAATAAAGTAAAATCTCAATGCGACCGACGATATGTTCATTCGTTGTCCTTGAAATTTGAACGTTGTGAGTACATGGGTAGGGACAACTAGGTAGGGGGGAAATACATGTATGTGACAAAAAACAACTTGTTTGAGCAACCAACCGGACTACTAGAGGTGGCAAATGAAAAATTCCTCCTGTGAAAAAGCAGCTTTGATAATACAGGATTGTTTAGATTGGCCCACCTAGGAATAATTACTCTCAACATTAATGTAGAGAGTAATTTTAGGTAGATTAATTTTTAGATAAAACTAGAAATAGCGCTTGCGCGTTGCTGCTGGATTACAAAATGTGTGAGCATAATATATATAGATATTTAAAGAACGATGAAGTTTAATTAATCAATGGAAAATGGTGATTGATAAGTAAATTAGCAAATGAGAATATCTGTACATTCAATGTAACAAAATTTCAATTACATGAAATCAATTGGTGGAATTAAGAATATCTGCACATTGAATGTAACGAAATTGCAAATAATAGGAACTCAGTTTCGAAACAATCCACAAATCTAAAATCAAAAGCAATAAACAGAGCTAAAAACAGTAAAAACAGAGAAAAACATTCATGCTGGGAAATCAAAAGAGAAGGGAAAAGGGAAAACCTTTATGCTTAATTTTCTTCTCATGGCGTCTAGCTTAAGAGAGATTGAAAAAAGTTTACAAACTATTAAGGACTGATTCAGTCAATTTTGAATCAAAACAAATAAGCCTTATTAATACCTTGTGAAATCGCATTGTGATTTTGACAGCGTAAAACCCATAAACGTCGAGCAAATGATGAACGTGCACTTCAGATCAAATATGCAATCTTTTCTGCAAGATAAAAATGCATAACTACCCACTGTAGGGGCGATTGGGAGAACAAAAAAAAAAATCAAAAGGAATTATTAACTTTTGGATCTAGAAGTAAACTCAAATGAATCGATCGAAATTATAACCCTAGAAACTAAAATCAAACAAACACAGAAACAAATATGAGAATTTACACGCCAAGAGATTGATTCTTACCCGACGTTTGGGGGGGGGGGTTGCTTGAGATCGGCGCCCGTTTTCTAAAAAGTAGTGAAAACCCGAAAGCAATCAAGTCTGATCAATGCCAAAACAGAAATGACAATCAGCTAGCAGAAGCTATCCAGCAACAGGGATATCCAAACAGATACTATGCACGTTTCTCTAGATGCTCAGTGCCAAAATCATCTCACTCAGAGCAACTCCAGCCTTGCTGGTTGCTCGGGGGACAGTGAAGAGGAAAGGGCCCGAGGCGCTGTGAACTGAGCTCCAGCCGTGTGGAGCCCAAGCGACGGTGGGAGCCCGAGCGAAGGAGGGGTGGGGAGTCGACGGGCCTGTGGCCCGAGGGCTTTGCAATTTTTTATTTTTTTTGTGTCAGAGAGAGAGAGAGGGGGACCGGAGATTTTTTTTTGTGTCAGAGAGAGAGAGAGAGAGAGAGAGAGAGAGAGAGAGAGAGAGAGAGAGAGAGAGAGAGAGAGAGAGAGAGAGAGAGAGAGAGAGAGAGAGAGAGAGGGGATCGGAGCTGGGCTTCCATGGGTGCGGAAGGGAAGTGGGTCGTCGCGGGGGGGGGGGGGGGAGGTAGCTGGGTTCTGGTTTTTGCAGGGGGTTCTCGGGGGTGGGAGGAGAGGTGGAAGAAATGGATCTGAGTTCGGGTTTCTGTTTTTTTTTTTTTTTTTTTTTAATTTTTTTAATTGGATTAATATTATAATATTTTTAATGTATAAAAAATTATTTATTTTTACCAAAGATTCTGAAAAGATAACGACACATGACACAATAACATTGGATAAAAATCTTATCAAAATCCTTCGCTAAATAATTGTTTTTTTTTTATAAAATGACACGTGGCGCAACGAGAACGATTTAAGAATTCTTATCCGAAATTACAAATAATTTTATTTTGTATTATTTAAACAAACAAAAAAAACTATTATTTTAATTGCCTATTGCCTGGGGGGAGGGCTCCAAGGGTGGAGATGCAAATGGCAATTACTGTTCATTAATGTCAGTTACTATTCATTTAAGGCAGTTACTGTTCAAAATGGTGGATTCAATAGTGCATTGACAGGGGGGAAGGCTCCATGGGTGGAGTTGCTCAAAAGCACTTCTATAGTAAACAAAAGTCATAGAGATCATACAAAAAAATCCAAAACACTAAAACACTAAAATGGGCAATCAAGATTCAAGACCAAGATCCAATAACCAAAATTGGCACCAAAACACTAAACCCCAGAATTGCAAACCAGCTTAATTCAAAAGCCTAATGAGTAATTTTTCGTTGTCATCACCACTTTGACATGTGCCCTTATTGATCCACTCATCTTATAACATATCTATCTATTTGTTAGTGTATAACGATTGTCTTTTATGATACAAGATAAACTCCCTTATGATAGTGACACTCTTAGTCATAAATTGTAGTAAATCACAATTGTGCTTAAATTCACTAAATATGAAAAAAAAAATACTCATGTAAATTTGTTTAACTCATAACTCAATAACATAACATACTGTCGAATGACCGTCACACCGAAAAATCTCTCTATACGGACCAAAGCCTTTTATAGTTTTATCATGGAGAAAAGAAAAAAATAGTGGTGTGGTATTCACATACCCCATTTTACTTCTTACACACCCTTTGTTAATTTCTATCCATTGATTTTCTTCGATTCATCTGATCTGACAATCAAAAATTATAAAATGTGTAAAAAGTAAAATGAAATGTATGAATATCATATTCCAAAAAATAAGAGTGGTTGAACACAAAACCACAAAAAAGACCGAAGGTTTTCGTAGTGGTAACTGTTTATAGACCAATAGAAACACACTTTTAACAGTAAAAATATTAAAAAAACTTAAAAAAAACTTTCCCATTTCGTGGAAAAAGAAACCAAGAAAACGCCAGTCAAGCACTCTCTCAAGGTCAAGTGTCTATAGAGCCAATAGCACTAAATTGCAGTACTCAAGTCGTCGCTTAGTTGGACAAAAATGGCCGGCCTCCTTTGACCCGTCGGCCCTCTCTCTTTTCCTCTCTTTTCTTCTCCAATCCCATCCAAACGTTTTTTTCTGCAAAAATCCATCTCCATTCACACACCTTTTACAATTTTCCCAGAAAAAATTTTTGGGCAAGTATTTTTATATAAATCGTATGTTGCACTTGTTTTTTTGTTGACCGGGAAAGTCTTTGTCTTTGTGGAAAAAAATCCATCTCCATTCACACACCTTTTTACAATTTTCCCAGAAAAAAATTATTGGGCAAGTATTTTTATATAAATCGCTTGTTTGTTTGTTGACCGGGAAAGTCTGTCTTTGTGGAAAAAGAAGGAAGCTTTGCTTTGGATTCAAGAACTCTTCTCCGGGATCTTTGATTCATCTGTGTTTTCTGCAAGGGAATTATCTCAGGTGAGTATTTTGAAATTTTCCCAAAGCTTCAAACTTTTAGCTGGATTTTTGTATGTTTAGGGAGACTTGGGTCAACTCATTTGGATCAAGTCAGTTTTTTGAGCTTGATCTGTGTTTGTTCTAGTTTGTATTTTGTGAATATTGAATATGCTTGTTTTCATTAGTTAAATTGCTGCTTGGTACACCTGTTTCTGCATCTTTTGGTAGAGAGATGATGAATTGGGTTTTGCTTCTTGTGTTGTTTCCATAATTTGTTTTCAAATTTGGGGTTAATTAAAGCTAAAAATATTGTAAAACTTTTGAGTGCTTATTGGTCTAATTTGGGTTCATTTCTTGTTGCCTTTGAATTTTGTTTCGGGGCTTGGTGTTTACAAATGCTGGGGTTTTGTGGAATTCAGTATTCTTGAGCTCTGGTAATAAAAAATAGCGAATTTAGGTGATTTTGATGGCTTTTTCGATGTATATGTATCAGAACTAATTTTCCTTAGCTAGGGCTAAGATGTAGACATGATTATGAATGCTTAAATTGTGGTTACAAAGTCAAGGATGATGTAGATAACAGTATAGGCACTCATTGTTGTAAAGCAAGTTTGTCTATTATGGTTACAAAGTCAAGGATGATGTGTAGATAACGTTTTCTCTTTGTTCCTATTTTTTAATTACATCATAAGGTTCAGCTACATTCAGATTATAATTTAAGGTGTATATTGTGTTGGATAAAAAATGGAGTGTGTTTTATGAATGAAATTTCTGTATAAGAATGCCCAGGTATTTACATGTATATGTGTGTATACTTAAGAAAATAGTCATTTAGGTAGCCGAGTGAAGTCCGTATGATGATTACGATTTGGGATTTATATTTAGTTATATTAAAAGAATTATTTGGTTAAAAGAAGAGGGAAAAATAAAGAGGAAGATAAATTATGTGCCTGGATAGAGATTTCTTTGTTTAAAGTGTGTGCGCTTTGTAAATTTTTTTTAATCTTTCTTAGAAACAGAGCTTAAGAATAAAGAGGAAGAAAAATTATGTGCCTAGATAGTGATTTCTCAGTTATTAGTGCTTTTGAATGAAAAAAAAAATCATTGTAATATTGGTCCTTTGTGTATCTGATTTGTAATTGTATTTTCTATTGCAGATCATTGTCAGAGCAATTTATATAGCTACAGAGTGCTCTTGCTGAGATTGAAAAAAAAGGGTGAGTTCGGCTACTAAGTAGCGTTAAGTTTGGAATTTACAAATTTCTATTAATCATTTTGATAAATGTTTATATATATATATATATATATATATTATATATATATATGTATATACGTGTGTGTTGCCATTACTTTGAATGAAAAAAAAAAATTGTTATAGTGTTATTGTTTTGTACATTTTATTTATGATTACGTTTTCTATTGCAGATTAGTGCCACAACAATTTATATAAGCTACAAAGTGCCTTTGCTGAAATTGAAAAGAAAAAAAAGAGGGTGAGCTGACAAGTAATGTCAAGCTTAGAATTTACAATTTTTTTTAATTATATTGATAATTGTTTATATATATAAATGTGTCTTGGTATTTTTATCATTCTTTAAAATCTTTTGGTACATCAAATGTCATTCCGTGTTAAATTTGTATTTCCGTTTATGTCTTTTGTAGTGCGGTTCAACTTTTTTTTCTTTTCTTTTATAGGTTAAAACATCTTTGGTGGTGGTTAACAATTTCGTTACTTCACAGTTTAATAAATTTATTGTTCAATAATATTTATGTTGGTTTTTCACAGGGTTTGAGGAACGTGGCATTATTTAACATCAAGTTAGTTTTGTTTGCGTTGCAGGATTCTCTACACAAAAGGTAAGTGATTTAAACTTCTAAAATTATTGAGTTCAAATTTACCATCTGGTTTAATTTTATTTTTTACAATTAGAAGAAAGTTTCACATTCTGTTTAGGTTTTATTATACTCAAATTGAAATTTTAATTTTAGTAGTTTGTTTGCATTTAATGTTATATGTGTTGTTTTAATATGTGTGTTGCGTTAGTTTTTTCCTTTTTTCCCAATTTGTTTGCAGCTGTTTGTTTTTCAGTTGGTCATAACAATTTGTTTGCAATATGTCTAAAAGATCTATAAATTTAAAGCTTATGGATTATGATGTCGGATTTCAGAGTTGACCTTTTCACGAAAATTATAAAACTTGTCATTATGAGTGAATGCATATTTTTTTTTCATTTTTGTTTCTGCACCGAAGGTGCTTCAGCGATTTCGTCTTTTTATTTTTTTTGTAATCTCTGATGATTTTCCTGGATAGTTGCTTGTACGTATATTTTATTAAAAGATGCCTTTGCAAGAGTGCTTCGGACAAAACTGTCTTTTAATTAAGCATATTTAAAAGAATTATTTTTTATTTTTTGGGTGAAGATTTAAAAGAAAAATTTTAAGTAGTAGCATTATCAAATATTTTTTGGTTGACTAATCCTAATTTAATTTTTGTCCTCTCTGGAGTGTTTGTAACTTTGTGCACATGCTCACTGCTCAGTAAGAACTAGGAAACTTCCTCGCATCAGGAGGAGGAGGAGGTGGTGGGGTTCATTCTTTACTTTTCTTTCTTTCACTTTTCTTCTGTTTGAATGCACACAATTTCTACGCCGAATGTGCTGAGAAATTTCGTCTTTTTATTTTTTATGGTTTTTTTTTTTTTGGTCTAATCTTTTGATAATTTCCTCGATCGTCTATATTTTATTGAAAGATGCCTTACAGAGTACTATGGACAAAATTTTCTTTTAATAGTTGCATTATCAAAAAAATTTTAGGTGACTAATCCTTCTCTCTAAATTTAAAATTTTTGTACTAAAATCTGATCTAGTTTCAGGTGCAAGGTTCAGATTCTCTATCTTCTCTCCGTAATCAAATACTTCCTTCGATCGCTTCATTCTCTTATCTTTCTATGAGATAGAGAGATGGAGGTGATTGGGACTTCTTCATCTTCTGGTGCTGCTGATTCTGTTGCTGCTGTTGATGATGTTAATATCCCCCCTTTTCCGGAAAAGTATGATGTGTTTATTAGTTTCAGAGGTGAGGACACCCGCCCTGCTTTTACCAGCCATCTTCATGATGCCTTACTTCGCAAGAAAATCGAAACCTACATAGACGACAGGCTGGAGAGAGGAGACGAAATTGGACCCGCCCTACTAGAAGCAATAGAGAAATCAAGGCTTTCGGTGATCATTTTCTCCAAAAACTATGCGTCTTCCAGATGGTGCTTGTTTGAACTTGTGCATATACTCGAATGCAGAAAGAAATATGGCCGGATGGTTGTACCCATTTTTTACCGCACCAATCCATCAGATGTGCGAAACCAAAAGCGAAGTTATGCAGATGCATTTGCTCAACATGAAAATCGTGAGGACACCAGGGATAAGGTGATCGGTTGGAAAGCTGCTTTGGTGGAAGCAGCCGGTTTATCTGGGTTTCATTATTCATACAAAAAAGGGTAACTAACTTTGTAACTTGTATCAATTTCTACTTGTGATTATTTCTTTTCAAATTTTATTTTTATTGTTTATAGGAAAAAGGATATTCATTACATAGACTTCAAATTTTTATTAGGTAGGTAAATTGAACCTTATTCATAATCAATACAAATATAACACTGAGAAACACAAATTAACCATTTTTGACATAAAATTCTAAACAAATATAACACTGAGAAACACAAATTAACCATATTTGACATAAAATTCTAAACCATGACCAATTCACCAAACTTACACAACATGTAAATTTACCCTATTTGTTTCCCTCCAATACTTCACTATACTAACGTGTGTATACCTTACCGAAAACCCCATCACAAAAACATCTTTTTTCGAAAATGAATCACCACATCGCCAAGCAAACTGTTGTTCAAATGAAAAAATAAAAAAAAAGGGGGTCAAATTAAACACCTTTAAACCACAAAATCGAAAACAACAAACCATATAATTAGTGAGGGCAGACTTTCCGGCATTCGGGACACCAATTATGCCAACAGACAATGCCTTTTGGTCCTCCGCCATCACCATTTCCTCCTCATCCCCTGATTCCTCATCATCAGCATGCTCCAATGCCGCCTCTAGAAGCGCCTTTGCGATAACCAAGCTAATAAGCATAAGTTCAAACTTAATCCACTCTTTAAATTCATCCTTACTAAGTAACGTGAACGCTGATAAGTAACGTGAACGTTAATAAACTTTCAGCACATAATAATATTAATAATAATAATAATATTAATAAGAATAAGAATAAAGGTCATCGTTGCCTTGTATACTTGTATAAACACAGTACACAGCTTATCCCAGCTGAAGCAGAACTTGTAATTCATGCGAACTTTCTCGCTAAGCAAACAAATGGGTGTGCGAATTAGCTCAAATCCAGAACAATTAACAGTGAAATGAACAGTGCCAGAAGCAGAAATGAGCAAAGAATGGATGAAACTTTGAGATTGAGCAGGGTGGAGTGGTGGGTTTTACCTTGTTCGCATACAGAGCGACTAAATCTCTTTCCTTCACGAACAAATCTTGATCTACGGTTGAAAGTTTCACTGCTTTCGCTGCTGCTACTAAATCGGCTTCTACTCGTCCTAATTCCTCATTCTCCTAATCGCAATCCCGGTTTTGAAATTGGCCATAGCACGTAAAGAGGAATAATGATGTCGAAGAGAGGGAGCGACACCTGAGGAAAGCAATCTCAGATGACCAACACGTGGGAAAATTTGATAACGGCTGGGCCAAAGGGTATATTAGTAATTCTACTATGCAAAAATAAAAAATACAAAGGAAATGAAACAGTGCAAGGCAAAAACATCAATACCCTGCGTGAACAGTGTCTTTGAACTGGGTTTACTAGACTAGTTAAAGCATTACTTACTATCTATCGCTTATCATTTGTAATCATATTTTGTAATCATATTTTGCAGGACGGAGGCTGATTTCATTAAGGAAGTAGTGGAAGATATTTTAACGAAATTGAAACGTGAAACATCATATGATTTAATGGGCATGGTTGGAATTGAAAGCCGCATCGAGCAAGTTGAATCGTTATTAAGCATTAATGATTGGCAATGTGTTCGTACTGTAGGCATTTGGGGTATGGGTGGCATTGGAAAGACCACCATTGCTAGGGCTGTGTTCAAGAAACTCTCTTCTAACTTCGAAGCTTCTTGTCTTCTTAATAACGTTAGGGAGAAATCAGAGCAAATAGATGGAGCCGATCAATTGCAAAATCAATTGCAAAAGACACTTCTTAGAGAGATCTTAAAGGAAGAAAATCTCTCTACAGATTCGACTTTTGATCGAGAAGGGCTCAGACGTACAAGGGTTCTCATTGTTCTTGATGATGTTAGTGACTCAAGGCAAATCAAAGATCTAGCTGGAGATAATCTTTGCTACGGGAATGGAAGTAGAATCATCGTAACAAGTAGAGAACAGAGCGTACTCGTGAAAGCTGTTGGTGATGAAAAATATATATATGAGGTTAAGAAAATAAATACTGATGACGCTCTTCAGCTCTTTCAATTTCATGCTTTCAAGGATAACTCTCCTAGAGAAGAATATAGAAAGTTGTCGGCAAGGGTGGTAAAATATGCTGGAGGCATTCCACTGGCTCTTGAAGTTTTGGGTTCCTTATTGTTTCCATGTAAGAGCAAAGAGGAGTGGGAAAATGCATTGAGCGCACTGAGAGATTATCCCAATGAAGAAATTCAAAATACGTTCAGAATAAGCTATAATAGATTGGGAAGAAATGCGCAGGAGGTATTTCTTGATATAGCGTGCTTTTATAAAGGGAAGCGTATTGAGGATGTAAAAAAGATGGTAGACTTTGGTGGTTCATGTGCGGCAGATGGAATTAGAGTTCTCCGTGATAGGTCTCTCATATCGATTGATTCGAAACGGGAAACCATAGATATGCATGATTTGGTACAAGAAATGGGTTGGGAAATTGTTCGCAAACAATGTGTTGAAGAGCCCGGAAGACGCAGTAGGCTATTCATTGAGGAGGATGTTTATCATGTGTTGAAAAATAACACGGTAAGAGCCGCAAGTGCATTCACAATTTTTTAAACAATAAAGAAAAGAAATAGATCAATAAAATACTGTGTACTTGCTATATGAGAAGACAGCTAGAGAAAACTCATTTACAAAAAAAGTCATATTCCTACAAATGTAGTTTAGATTAAATTTTGTTGTGTGCTAGTGTGTTCACATTTGTACTTTGCTGTTGGTTGTCAGGGAACTGAAAATGTTCAAGCCATATTCTTTAAAGGAGGGCAAATCTTGGATCGTGCAGACTTCAAAAGGATGTATAATATGAGATTGCTCGGTGTTGGTTCTTGGGAGTGGGATTGGGGGTGGGGGGGCAAAATATTCAACAGTAAAACACTCTTTCTTCTTCCCAATTCTCTTCGTTATCTTTTCTGGATGGCATATCCTTTGAAATCTTTGCCCCCAGAATTTTCTCTTGAAAATCTTGTTGAGCTTCATATGCCCAGAAGCAGTGTCACGAAACTTTGGGATGGAGGCCAGGTATATGTGCTTGTTATAGTTTTTTTGTGTAAGATGTAGTGTAGAAACTTATTCAGACTAAGTTGTTAATTCTTACCTTTTCTCTTTAATTTGTTACAGAATCCTATCAACTTAAAAGTGCTCAATCTTCGTTCCTCCCGGTGTCTGACTGCACTTCCAAACCTCTCGGGGAGTCCAAATATCGAGAACATGGATCTTTATCGTTGTGAACGTTTGGTTGAAATTCCTCAGTATTTTAAAAATCTTGACAAACTTACTTATCTTGATCTTTCATGGTGCAAGCTTCTCGAGTATCTTCCAGAGATGCCACGCAATATTGAATCCTTAACATTACGAGGCAGTGGCATAAAGGAGTTGCCGTCATCAGTTTGGTCTCATGCAAATATTTCTTCCTTGGATATTACATGTTGTGAAGAACTTAAGGAACTTCCAGGCAACACTTGCAAGCTGAAAGTCTCTGGTGCTTTTAGTCTAAATCGCTGCACCTCTCTTAAAAAGTTTAGGGAGCTTCCCAGGGGTATTGGTGAATTAAATTTGTCTCACACAAGAATAAAAGTATTGCCCACACTATCAATGGAGAGTCTCTTTTGTCTCACCAAACTTGAACTGAGGAATTGCATTAATATTGCGAGTCTCCAACCGAGCATTTGTAAGTTGAAATCTCTTGAGGAACTTGATCTCTCTCGTTGCTCTGCACTTAGAGTTGTCCCAAGTAGCATCTACGAATTAACAAATATCAAAACGCTCAGCTTTAGTTGCTGTCGGAAACTTCGAAATTTTCCTCAGCCGACTGCAGGCTCAGTTGGTTTTCTCTCTCTTGAAGTACTAAACCTCCATGGCAGCGGTATATTAGAAATCCCTGAGGGCGTCATTTGCTCAACCTCATTACGGGTTCTTAATCTGGACGAAACCGAAATTCGGAGCATACCCTCAAGCATTAAACAAGTTTCTCAGCTGTCTAGGCTGTGCTTATACGGGTGCGAGAGCCTTCGATCTTTACCAGAGCTCCCAATGGTACGTCGTCTTCATGCAGATGGCTGCAAGTCACTGAAGACAGTGTCGAGTTCAAGGACTGCAATTACACGATGTTGGAATAGATATGAATTGCTACAAGAGGTACATACTTTTTATGATTGTCCAAGCTTGGGTTATGATGCAAGGAGCAGCATAATGGTTGATTCACAGCTTAGAATCATGCGAGTGGCAACTGCTTCTTCAAAGCTAAAAGAAGAGAAAGAAGATTACGTATGTTTCTCAACTGCGTCTTCAAATTTAAAAGAAGAAGAGGAAGACTGCCGCGAAGAGGAACATTGCGATTGTTCCTATTCCTACGCGAAAGGTTACGTACGTTACGTATGTCTCTCTCTCTCTCTCTCTCTCTCTCTCTCTCTCTCTCTCTCTGTGTGTTAAGTAACAAGATGTCAATCAATGTTGCAGAAAAAGTACTCTGGGCCCTTAGTTACCATTGTATGTCCGGGAGATGAAATTCCAAATTGGTTCGTACATCAAATTGAGGGGCCTTCAATAAATGTCAGGCTTCCTGCAAATTGGTTTCGTGAAGGTTTCTTGGGTTTCGCTCTCTCTTTTGTTGCATCCAAATTCTATTATCCACGTGTGCAGTTTGAATGCAAGTACAATTTCAAAACTGGAGAGGGGGAAAGTCATGAAATCAATTGTTATTTCACTACAGAATTTGGCTATTGTTCAACTGATTGCATATATACACAGCATGTGTTCGTTTTGTATAAAGACCTTGAATATGAAGAGGGAACAAAATGGTCCTCTGCTTTTTACGACCGCGTCACTGAGGTCTCTGTGGAATTGCTTATGAACGTGGTGGAAAAGTGTGGGATGTGCCTATTGTATGCCGAAGATGCTGAGAAATTAAAATGTGATGTCATGTTGCAACAAGAACAAGATGAGCATGCAGCAAGTGGGAGTGGTGATCCTGAAGCCAGTGGAAGAAATGAATCTGAGGAAGCAAGTGGAAGCGATGACTCTGAGGGAGAAAGTGGGAGTGGTGATCCTGAAGCCAGTGGAAGCAATGAATCTGCGGAAGCAAGTGGAAGCGATGACTATGAGGGAGAAAGTAAGTGACGAGGAAGCAAAAGAAGACGACTAGTCTGAGGAAAGCAAGTGGAAGAGATGAGTCTGAGCAAGCAAGTGGAAGTGACGAGCCAGATGCAAGTCTAAGTGATTAGTCTGTTGTTGGTTTAGGGCTCTCCTAAACTTCAATGTAAAAAATAATTTAAAGATAAAAAATTGAGTAGTTCATTCAGTATTCAACCACAATTCTATGTTAAACGTGAGAAATATATTAAAATTGTCTACATCTATCGCAAAATCTATTTACATCCTAATTAAGGGAGGAGTAAGAGATGAGAAATTTCATACAGATAGGCAGTCCTTGTTTAAGAAATATAAGGTATTCATTTAGTTCTACAAATATAACTAATACCTGTGTCATAATAGACCACCTATCAATTAAGATTATTATACAAACCAAAGAATTCAGTTGATTCAAAAATCAAACCCATAACAAAATTTATCTGATATATTAAGACAAAAACAAAACCCAAACAGATACTTCTAGCATTTCCTTTAGAGAAAATTTTCTCAAAAGAGAAAACAACTAAAATCATTGACGAATAGATACAACAAAGATAAAATTCATTGGAACTCCTGTTGAATAAAATAATAAGCAACATTTACGGAAAAAAATTCAACGATATTGAGAAATTTCTTTGTCATTGATAACTATATTGACAAAATTTGATATAGAATCAACGATATTGAGAAAAGAAAAAAGTGCAAGGCCTTTGAGCTTGTTTCTAATTTCCTCATAAACATACGAACAAAAAGAAAGAAACAAATGAGTGCAAATAAAACATTCTGAAATACGATTTTCTTTGATCAGATCACATCTTTCATTTTAAGAGCTTACCTCTAAAAATGCCAATCTATCAGCAACATCATTTGTGCACTCAAAAAGCCTTGTTAGCTGACGGGTCACTCTCAAGACAGAAACTGGGACTCTTGTTATATTTGCCTCTTGCCCCGCAAACCTTTCACACAATGTTATTACCTGAAAGCAAAAGGCACTTTTAAAAACCCTAGACCTTGGTTACAATGAGGGTGAGGCACAGTAGGAGCTGGCCTTAAGTTCAGTTGCAGAGTATAAAAATTAGAAGAAGAAAGAACAATGAAGGGCCTCTGGTGGTAAACATTCTCGCTCACCTCTTGGGTTGTCCAAGCGCGAGGGCCAGCAAATGTGACAAGCTTCCCACTGACTTTCTCATTTCTTGAACCTATAAAGGTCAGAGGAGCTACATCCTAATACCAAAAATAAAAAGTGTTCAGATACCATAACGAGGTAAACAAAAAGAAAGTATTTCTAAAATCAACCAGGGAAACGGTCAATCCATGATTAAACTGGTGTACATGTATGCAATTCTTGTGGGGGCATCTGTTCCCTATACTGATTTCTCTTCTAATATAGGCACTGCAATACTGCATACTGTCCAATAATTCCCTGAGAATAAAACGTAAAGATAAGCCTTTTCACTTAGTAGCTAGTACTAACATCAAAACAGATATTCCATCTCACAACGAAACACAAGAAACTGTAATGACAGAAGAATAACTAGCATACATAATTATTGATTGTTTTATGAAATCATGTCCTTTCCTTTCCGAACAAATGATCATTCTCCACGCATATGCATACCTCTTCAGGGTGAGTGTGCTTAGATGCATGCCTGTGTTTTGAATGATTTTTATACGTGCAACTTCTTATAACTCTATCTGGTTTAATTGTTGTTTCTGATAAAAAAAAAGTGAATGGGGGTTGGAGGAGTGCTATATGAGAATAAGAATAATAAGAAGATACGGAAATTAATTTGAAACATCAAGCTGACAGTGAAGCAAAAATCTGGATATGCCAGTAACAAGATAGTAAGAGAGGAAGTTTAAGTGAAACCTACTTGCATGAATCCAAATAAATGAATTATGACGTGATTTATGTTTGAATCCTGGGGAAACTTTTTAGTGCAATACTTGATCTCCATAAGTGGAACTTCGGGATGCTTGTCACAGTTGTGGATGGAACAGAAAACAAATCAAATAACTTCATTGTATAAGAGCAACTTTTCCTTCCCAATCTACCTAAATGGAGAAAATGGTTAGATAAGAGTCATAAGACCAAAAATGCATGCAGGACACATTAGTAAAATAACTTCATGATCTTAGATGGATACACGAATCTCTAAATTGAATCGGAGCAGTTTTTAAAATGTTGAACAATCCATAGACCTTTTCTAATTTATTCCTATTTTTTATTTGAACAAGGAATAACATAAATACACAAAAAGGAGTAAGACAGAAGCAATTCCATATGACAAATGCCCGAATACTGTAGGTAGGAAACTAAAATTAGACAAAAATATGCTTTAATGGACGAACTGATCATTTAACGAATGAACTGCTCGTTCTGCTTTATCAATGATAGCTTCAACAGTTGGGCATTAAAACCCACCTTTTTTATGGGCTCTTTAAAATTTATAAGAGTTAGTGAATTGGAATTACATTGACAACAGTAGCACGCCAATCTCTTAGAAAATCGGCAGGAGTGGTCTCGGCCTAACCAAGCACCTAACATCATGTCCCTCATCAAGTGCTCTCCTCACAATCTGCCTCCCCAAAGTCTCGGTGGCGCCGACCACCAGTATGCTGGAGGGTCTGACGGGTGTCCTCCGAGCAAGATTCACAGCCCCAGCTCCCGCCCTGGCCGTACATTTCATGAAACGCCACGTATTGGTCCCTGCACACACAAATCAAAAAGTGAAAATTCAGTTCTTTTCAAATTTGAAAACAAATATGGGTTCCTTTCAAGTTTGTAAACAAAAATATGGGATTTTTTTTGCGATTTGTGAATAAAAATGGAAAAATGAAAGCTTTCCTGTTGAAGGGAGGAGACGAATGAGTGGCGGTAGAGGTGGAAGAAGATGACGAAGGAAGGAGATGGACTGGAGCTAAAGTCCGGCATCATGACAGCGAGGCTTGGAACGATAGCTTTTCGGAGTCATGGTGATGGAGCTTTCCTGGTGTTGCCAGCAGGGTAGGAAGCCTCCAAGCCATTGCCATTTTCAAAGCTTTCTCTCTGTCTGTCACCGTATGGGTACTCTTTCATCTTACAGAGAGAGAGAGAGGGGGGGATGGAGCGATTGAGGTCAGTGTTGCCACGTCATTCTCCAAAGTGGACTAAGATTTTCTGCCACTTGTCGCAGCTCATTTCTGTCATACGACCCGACCCGACCCGACCTGTTCCGATCCTGCCATATTCAAGGTCACTTTGGGCCGACTTCCAAACGAAGCCCAATTAGTCAAGACAAAGGGAGGACAGTGAAAAAAATTGAGGAAAACAAGTCTTTGCAAGAGTTGAGTTGATTTGATCAAATTTAAATTCCTTGCATTGCGAATGGTTGGAATTAAAAGTTCATTGAGCAAATTGAATCGTTATTAAGTATTAATGATTGGAAAGGTGTTTGCACGGGTGGTATTGAAAAAACCATCATTCACGGCCATATATAATCAAACATGAATCGCATACATGTGGACGTAGGTGGTGTTGTGTTTATGGATTTTATTCAATATGAGAATCCCAAAAGCATGAGTTAATGGTTCCACACACAGCCTCTATGCCCAAAATCCCCAACAAATAAAAAATAAAAAAATATTAATACATAGTCCATATACAAATCAACCGGCCTGTGACTAAGGCATAGACGGATTTCGTACTTAAATTTCCACTTGGAGAGTCCCTCCAGATCAGAGAGTTTGTGCAATTATCCTCTTGAAAAGGCTTGATAGCTCTGATATGGGGTATCAAGTTCATGGGGATCAGCTCCACAAAGTAACTCCACTTCAAGTTTCCATCTTTGTGCTTCTCCAACCAAATTGTCAGATATTATTTTATTATTTAAATAGAGCTTTAAATGGTTGTAATTATTAAAAAAAATGTTGAAAACAAAATTTTTATTGGTTGAAATGTTAGTAGAATAAGGGATCCACCATTAAAATGAATTAAAAATAAATTAACATTGATGTCAAATTTGACTCCAAATCACAAAGAATTCAAATCTAGTAAGCAAATAACACTTCGGTTGGAGAGATTTTTGATGTCAATTATGCACAGTGGCATTCCACCTAAGATTTTGACATCTCCTTTGGAGATGCTCTAACATAAAAATGCAAAATTTGGATGTTGTAACTCCAGTGGAATATCATGCTACAAATTCAAAATTCAAAACACAAAAACGCATATTAAACACAAAATTAAATTGCTTTCAGAGACATAAGCTTAGGAACACCAAAAACTGAAACTTTTCAAAAGCGCAGAAAGAGAGAGAAAACACAACTTGGAGTAAAGTTCGGAATTTTACCAAAGGGGTTTCGGAGGAGGCGCAGAGAGGAGGCGATCGGCAAGAGAGAACTTGAGAGCGGTGGTGGTTTAATTTTATAAAAATTTTCAAACATATCCAAAATATCACTTAAATAGATACAAATACCCTTAAACTTTAAAACCAAATAAATTAAGAAACCAAAACCTATTAGATGAAAATTTATGACGGCAAAACCTAAGAAATGATGGAGACATAGTGAAGTGGAGACTTGTACAGCCCTAAACGAAGGTGAGTGTAGATGGTTGATTTTTGCATTTTTCCTCGTCTACGTTTTTTCTTTGCTTTTGTAGTTTTTTCCTTTGATTGAATATTTATTGAAAAACGAATTGTCAATATTTGTAACGTTAATTATCTCAATCCTTTGGATTATATGTGTTTCATATTTAGTTTTCCGCACTTTTGCATTATTAATGGTGTTGTCCGTATTCGGATTTTGTTTTGAAGGTTATCATTGACTATGGTAGTGAATCGAGAGATTTGCTGTTATTAGAAAGTGCAAAAAGCTTTTTTTTTTAATTTATTTTTTGTTCTAACGATAGAATTTTGTTAGATTAGTTACCAATAAGGTTTGAACTCACTTCGTCATGCTAGAACTTAACACCTTTTCATCATTGTTGTAAAGGGCCACTTGCAAAAAGCATAATTTTAAGGTTTACAGAATAAAAATTCTTATTAGAAAAATTAGGTTCCTTGTGTGAATGGAAGATTGACAAATCTAATAGCATTTGCCAATCAGTTAGAGACAAAGCTAATAAAAATTCTTTTAGTGCATATTAGAAAAATTAGGTTTACGAAATAGAAACTTTTCTTTTTTTGTGTTTTTATTCTTTCTTATCTTGGTTTGGAAATTGTCAATTAATTGTACTAATAATCTGGGCAATATTAAATTTTTTTTTTTCAATGCGTATGTCACTTTTTTCTTTTCATATTGTTATGCTTTTATTTCAGGAAGATGTCTAGTTTGACAATTTTAGTGAACTGTGGTGGGAGGTGGGCTGACTCGCACAAAATTGCAAAACAAAAGATTACTTGTTTCATATAAAATTACATTTGCGAAGCTTCATAAGAAAGTACATGGTATTGTGAATGAATGTGGACCTAGAAGAGTATGAGATAAGTATGAAATTCATATATAACACAATGGAAGCCACTTGGCAGGCATATATAGTTGATGATGACGATGTGAGGGCATTTATCTTTGAAAACTTTCGAGGTCTTGAAAGATTGCATTGTGTGTTACATTAAAGCAGAAAGTATTTTCTTCCGAAGACTGTAAAACTAAGAGACCCCGTGGTGAGTCCGAAGGAAGCGGAAGTGATAACTTTTAGCTCTTATGAGGAAGAAGATGATTCTTCTTCAGAGAACTCAAAAGAAATCAAAACTGGAGGTGCATGATCAACTATGTTCATAGAGAAAAACTTGTGGTAACTGAGTTTCTATGCTTTCTAACAAGGGTTTAGGGTTTAGCCAATGCTCTTACTGGCTTGGGGTCGCTCATGTGGTTGTTTTTCTTATTTTATGCCTGCTGCCTCCCATGTACCTGGAGGTGCAAAATCAACCATGTTTACATAGAGCAAAATGTGGCAGCCGATCGTGTTGTCGTAAGCCTTGTGTTTGATGACGCTTTTGGGCTTGGTAGGCCTAGGGATGTCCTAACCTTAAGGCTGTTGGCCTTTCACCCTCCCATGTACCAAAAGTATTAACATAACATAAAAAATCAATTTCATTCGTGATTTGATTCTAATAACATTGAAGGTACGCACTTCTCCCTAGTCCTTCTCTGTAGCATCTAATTACGTTAAAGCAGTGTGTTAAAAAAAAGTGCCCGATGCGTGCTAGGCGGCTTTGGATGGAGCAAAATGCTCCACTGTTTTTTACAATGTTCAGGCAAAGTAGTGTGGAAATAATAACTACTTCATTTGCCTTCCTCAAATGGTTCTCATTATCGCACGAAAACAACTTCCCAAATTGGAAAGGTTAAATTGAAAGACTTTGTTATACAAATCATTGATTACAGTTAAACTTGGAAAAACACAACGGATAATCAGACTCGCTGATTAGGATTATGTGTCTGTACTTTGTAATTGCGAGTTGTAGAGCCAATTTAAAAAGGTGAATACGTTGGCATTCCTTCAACTTGCCTTCCTCAAATACATTTAAGAGTTTTCTTTCCAAGTTCCAACAACCACAACCAAACAAGAGATTGAAAAATTGGAGTGAAGGAGAAAGAGAGTTGAAGAATTCCATGCATACAACAGAAGATGACGCATCAGAAACTGAAGAAAGATTTAAGAGAGAGTAAAGCCTGAATTCTGCGCCTACAATAACCACACCCTAAACCCTAAACCCTCGTATCTCCGTCGTATATACGTTCCTGCCTTACGGAAAGAATCATCAAAGAAGAAAACACGATGTTGTCCTTAGCACGAACCACTGTACAAGGTTCAAAATCTGAATAGTCCTGTATAGCCTGCCATCAGCTGAAGCCTGTATGTACAATGTGGTTTTTTGTTACGGCCAATCCAATTGTATAAATCATTCTCATCCATGTAAGTAACCTATCAAAACGGGCGACAGAAAGACCCAAAGAATTTGGTGAAGAGCTTGCTAAGACAAAACTGCTAACTTGCCAAAATTGGAAATCCTGTCGTCAAACTTCAGTCTGAAAAGAATTCGTCGAGTTCTGGTTGGTCGGACTTAAGTAGAAGACTTGGATCTGAAACTCTTACGCTAGGCAGCACTTTCCCTAGAGACCGATTTGCAATTTCAGTATAATCCGCCTCAGACCAATCTTGCTCGTCCTCAGTTACTTGCTCATCTGTCACATAACCACTGTCCTTGTTCGTATAATCCTCCTTATCTATTTTAAGGATATCGGGACTTTCATTTTGAGGAATTGGAACTTCCTTAGCCTTTGTGTTAGATGCGCTACAAATGCAAGCTGCTGGGTTTTCGTGGAACTCACCCCTGCCGAGCTTTATCTCATTTGGCTCTCCCATGAATCCAATTTGACTTGTTCGAAGCCTCGATGCAAATTCTTCCCATGTCATGTTATTACGATTTATGAACAACGGAGACAATTTCTTAGCATTTGGACGGATTGTTGGTTTGTGACCAAAGTATCTCCTGCGTGAGTAGACAAACTAGTTACAGCTAAAACATGAATCAAATCAGAACAAGTGAAAAAATAAATATATTGGTAACTCGAGTTTTAATACCTTCGACCAGCTAACATTTTAGCCATATTGCCATTGTTGTTGGTGATGAAAACATCACTTTCATCGCAAACAACGAAGTCCAGTGCAGCCATTCGAAGAGAAGGATGAAAATGGTGCCAACTCCTTCTTACTTAATAAAGTCTCTTTTGTGTGGAAGTTTGGGAAAAGTGCTTTTAGTGGTGCCATTGTCTCTTCACCTCCATATACTTCACCGGATGCCACATACAAGTGAATATCACTTCCGAAACCCAGCGCTCTAAGCATGAGACCAACTTCCTCTGGAGTTAGCGGGCATCTGCCATGTCTTCGTACCTTGTCAGGGTTGCTTGCCTGCACGCAATGTAGCCCCATAAAATAATGTAATTGTGATGCAGAGACAAATTATATAACACAGGTAATTACCGAAAGGCAGTATTCAAGTCATTACTCATTAGTGAAGCCTTACATGTAAAGTTTTCCACCTTTTCCGAAGTTTGCCAAGTTCTTTCCTTTCCTTTTCTCCCCCACCATAATCGCATCCAGAAAACGCCAGCATATCAG